ATCAGGACCTAGAACTTTTGGGGATGGAAGGAAGAAGTGTCATTACTCTACCTGCCATATATTTAAAGGGTTGTTCAACCCGGTGGTGTGTGCAATGCAATAATTTCTCATCAGGTCCTGGTTGTTTTTGGGCTCACACTTGAATATTGATAATGACCAAGAACACAGGATGATATCCTCTCTCAAGATAATGTCTACCTTCTATTCCTGGGGTTGAGTTTTTATGCTTGCAATCTCAATATTTTTAAATTCATTTAACTTATTCATCTCCCTCATTCTTCTTCTGCTGGTTTGATTTCTTCATGTTGTCCCTGGTCTGGATGAATCAGTTTTTGTCCATCCCTGTCCTGCAAAAGTGGTTCCTCGAATTGAAATCAGTGCTTCAGGACTGGTCTCAGCAATGCAGAGTAAAGTAGGGCTAATACATTCCTTGCTGGAGGCACCGGTCCTCTGGTGATGAAGGCTGAATTGTACTAGCTTGTTGGATGACTGTTCTCAAACTGTTGATTTATATTTTTTTCATGGGAAAAGTGTGGGTATACTGATAATACATTGGACACATTGGACACATTTCTTTTCTTTTCTTTTCTTTCCTTTCTTTCTTTTTTTTTTTTTTTTCGTGGGACCCTCGCCGGTGGCCAGGGATCGAACTGGTGCTGCAGAGTCTGCGGGCAGCCTCGCAACCCAGCGCTCAACTGCTGCGCCACCAGGGGAGGCCCTGGACACATTTCTTAACCTCTTCACTTTCATTTCCTCATCTGTAAAATGTAAATAATAGTGCCATCTTCGGAAGTTGATGTAAGGATTTAATGAGGTGTTCTACTTAAAGCGATTTGCTTTATAATTGAAGTTCTCAAAAAAACCCTTTCAGTCGTTTATACATGTTCTTTTGTTTTAAACTGAAGAACAGGAACTTTTCCAGTTCCATAAGTATTAACAAATATCCATTGCAGATAAGTGACCTTGGGCTAGCCTTTGTGGCTGGGTTTTGCTTGATGTGGTGAGTGTACAGGACAGAATCAAGGATCAAGGTTTTTAGCTACTGATTGAAAACTCTTGCTGGTGAGGTCAAGCCATAAACCAACCCCATTTGGATGCAGTCACTGAAGTCTTTTGAATTTGTTCCTTTTGTTGTGGCCTCATCTTTATCCTGTCTACAGTGATCTTTACAAAGCCTTCACATGTATAAAGGCTTCCCAGCCAGTGGGTCTGCTAATCAGAGGAGGGTGTTGTGCACATCAAATTCACAGAGTAATAAATTTTAGAGGTACAAGGTGTTAATAAACATTGTCAAGAAAATAGCTTTTCACACTGGTGCCGTGACTTCATTGCATACTCACTTTATGGTTTCTCTCTTAATTACCCAAGATGCTTTCTTAACACCACTTGGGCTTTTTCATTTTCTCTGGAGCCGACCTCAAGTGTATTGAGTTTAATTAGCACTTGTTTCAACATTATCCTTCTGAATATTTTGGCAAAGGTGGCACCTCACAGTATTAGAACATAGCAAGCTGCAAAATTCCTGGGGAGACATGTAGAATGTCATCCAGGAGAAATGTTATTCTTGTCATGTGTTCTCTTTTCAAAGAAACCTTATTTTAGTCTAAAAGGTTTGCAAAAGATAAAGGGGCTTACAGCAATAGTGACAGTTTCAGAACAGAAAATTAGAGCATATGTGAGGTGTTTCATTTGTAAAGGTATTTTAATCCAAAAGTTCTTTTGTAAGTTATAAAAACAGCATAATATAACAAGGTAGCCTGGTCCCTACCTCTGCCTTTATACCACTCCCATTTTAATAACACAAGCTTGAAGCCTAGAGGTTTATATTATCTTGTTTAGACTAACATTACATGGAGTAGACTATAGCAGAGAGAGACTTGAATCCTGATCTCCTTATTCTAATATTCCTGTGACCTCATATCCTTTAGCCTTATTTGAGTTCAGAAGGGACAGAACAATCAGGTAAGTTACAAAGGGAACAGGTTTTAGGGATTGACTAGGGGTGTTAATACCATTGTTAACCTTGTTGACTAGGGGTGCTAATACCATTGTTACACTACTTTGTCGAAACAAACCATAGCTTACTCAGATCTCATCTTGTTGGTGAAGGAAGCCTACACTCATGTAACACCTCCTCTATCCCATTCATTGCTAACTACCCCCTTCTCAGTTTTACTTTTACCCCCAGTTTATCATTATTCAACAAGCTGTGTATTCTGCTAGGTTCTACACTCTGTGGAAAGGCATCTGGGCTTTGTTCATTGATCCTAGAATAATATTTGGTACATAGTAGGTGTTCAAGATATATTCCATGAATGAATATGTGGGGAAAGACTTCATGGCACTGGCAATCCTTTACTCTCTGGCAGCCTTTCCTTCCTTCAGGCCAAGCTTACACACAGGGGAAAATAGCCCTGCTATGCCCCACCCCCCACCCTCTCTTGCCTTTGCTGAAGTTACAGTAGCCCTGTCCTTCCCACAGCTGAGAGTAGAAGGCCCTTCCCCCACAAGAAACATGGACCCTTCATTTCATAGGATAGCTAATCCCCTTGTGGTTGGGACAAGCTAATTACTCATTATGAGAAATTCCTAAGGTAAAACACCCTGTAACTATACTTCCCATTAATCAGTGTATGTTTTATAGTCTATTTGTAAGCATAGCTACTCATTATGTGTCACCTCCATGAAGAAACAAAGGAATTTTGCTATTGTTAGCTAACATGTTTTGCTGTAAAGTACCTTGAGTTCAGTGATTTTTCTTTTCACCTGCCAAATCTGTTAGTGGGAAAACTATTATCAAGAATTTCCTCCCAAACATATTGTTGACATAGCACATGTGCAGACCATTAGTGTATCAGACCTATTTTGAATCTGTTGAGGCTGGGTGATCCAGAGGACAAACTGTGAGTTTACTAGTCATCTTACAATGGAATTGTATTAAGAATGTATGTGTCAGTGTGTGTATGTGTGTATTATGAAAAAATCTACAAACAGATAAAATTTACGAGGATGTTTTCTTAAAAATGTTTAAATGGAGATGGTTAAAACAAAATTCAAAGCATACAAATATAATTTTAATATGGAAAGACTTTCTACCAGGAATTCCAAGTTCATTGCCTTTCCAAGTTGATTTGGATGAACTGTAGGAGAGTACTAAAATCCATGAGACCGCTCTGTCAGTTATTTCCAAGAAGGGATACACTTTATAAAGCATGGTTTAGAATTCATCTTTTTGTGTCCACTCTCACTACTATTTATTCAACATAGTATTGAAAGTCCTAGCTAGAGCACATAGGCAAGAGAAAGATATAAAAGGAATCCAAATTGGAAAAGAAATAAAGCTATCACTATCAGACCTCCCCTGGTGGCGCACGCAGGTGGTTGAATACCGTGCTGTGAAGCTGTCTGCAGCCTCTGCAGCATGAGTTCAATCCCAGCTGGCCGGCGAGGGTCCCACATGACACAGCAGACCTCTCCTGTCACAACCGCTGCTCCTCTCAGCAGTGTATTTTGTCAGTCTGCCTGTTCTGCTCCCTGCTCTGTCTCTGGTGAATCTTCTCACCCTCCGCGCATCTCAACTGTACCCCGGTTCTTGTATAAATAAATGAATAAATCTTTTAAAAAAATAAAATAAAGCTATCACTCTCACTAGAGGTAAAAGGAGGAACCTTTTCCAAGGGTCTATGGTAGAAGATTATGGGTACTAGGGGGGTGAGTGTGATGTGGTAACATACAATTGAAGATGTACTAACCTGTAGCTCTGAATCATACATAGTGTTATGAGCCAGTGTTACTTCAATTGGAAAAATAATCCTTTTTAGGACTTAATCAGTTTCCCTGCTTTATGGCCCATCTACTTCCTGGGTTAGCCCAGGTCTCCTGAGAATGATGCTATCAGAAAAACTGGTGTGTGTGGAGGAAAGTGACCCAGGCACACTGGTATTCCCCCAGGACTTTCTAAGCTACGGTACTTTCTTGTGCATGCTTTGGCCAGGAAGCTTTATAAATCTCCTGTCTGTGAACCTATTTGTATGGTTACCACTTTTTCTGGTGTTTTGCTTTCTTATGGGGAGGGTTTTTTTTTTTTTTTTTTTTTAATTAGAAGTAGAGACTATTACATTTGGTTCTAAAAGTAACTTCAGCTTTGCCAACCTCATCAACATTTACTTACAAAATCTTTCTATTACTACTTCATTTATTACTTTCTCACTTTTCATCCACTCATCATTTCATTCTTACAGGAGAGGTGAAAGCACACTATTCAGTGTGTTCCTAAGTTTGTTAGTTGCCATAAATGTCTCTTTTTTCTTAAAGCCTTAAAAAAGAAGTAAACTTTTCAAGTTTTATATATAATGAAGAATAAAAACAAGTATTATATATGTACCTAGAATATGTCGGTTTGACTCTATGGCCTTTCTCATTTTGTAGGTTGATGATTACAAATTGTAAGTCAAGTTTGTATGAATGAATTATTCCGCATCTGTATTCATAAAGCACTAATATGGATTCTCACAGCAATGAAATCATTTTGTCCATGAATTCTGAAAAATATTTGGATTGTATCTATTCCTTTTGTAGTCCTGTCATCTTATTTCTTTTAAATAGTCCTTCTACTCTAAGTGCTATGACTATAAAGTATTACAATTAATTTCTGTGAGCTACCACTGCTGAGCTGTCACTTTGTAATCACACTTCATTAATGAAATGAGGGAACTATTAAAAAATGCCAAGACTTGACAATGCTTTCCTACTCATAGTCTCAGGATTCACCTTCTAAATGTATATTTTAAGTGTTGCTAATTAAGACTAGCAGGGTGACTTTACTGTGCCTTACTATTGGCAGCAAGGATGGGGACTCTTATAAAAGTATAAATATAGCATATTTTACTTTTATGTGTATGCTATAATAGTATATTTATGAACTAAAGTTTTTCTTAGTGAAATACTTTTATTACATGCCTAGTAAATATAATTTGGTTTAACTTTTCCTTTCCTTCTAGGTGAAATGCGGAATGATTTATACATCACTATAGAAAGAGGAGAATTTGAGAAAGGAGGGAAGAGTGTTGCCAGAAATGTAGAAGTTACGATGTTCATTGTAGAAAGTAGTGGCCAGTCCTTAAAAGTAAGTTAACACTGGACACTTTTTGGTAAAACCGTCTCACCTAATTGATTTGGGTTCATCTTAAATTGATCAGTTAATTCCTGATTTGCAGTGTTTTCTATCTTATTTTTCTTCTCTGTGTAGTCTTCCTTTTTTAAAAAATTGTTAACTATGCCCTTTAGAAGAGACAGTGGAAAAGCAAAAAGGTTTTTACAGTCTAATTGTGTCAGCAATTTCCCATAGCAGTTATTCCTTAAATGTATCTTTTAATGCAATTTCATTTTTCTCTTTTCATCTGTCATGTTTCGGAGAGGAATACTTTTTCTTTGGCAAATGGTAAAAAACAAAAATCATACTTGAGCCTATGAGTTTTCATTCTGACCAAAATAAGACATGAATATTGGGGTAGTACTAATTTGGTGCTAATGACAGAGATCCTTTATGGAAGAAGCATTTTAAACGAAGCCTGGGGCTCAGTTAGTCTTCCAGGGAGGCATGGAGGAAACCAACTTCCCCTGCAGCAGGTTGAGAACTTGGTGGCATAATTTAATTTTAAATGGGGCATATGTCATACACGTCACCAACGTCCACCCTTGTAAGGCTCAGTAGGCCCTAGGAGATCAGCATTAAACAGATGCAGCCCACTAACATCAGCAAGTGCAGAAACAGCGCTGCAAAGGACTGACAAGGTAATTTCACATGAAGTGCTATTTGGGGAGTAGGGAGATACAGCAAAGCAATTGCTCTGCTGCTTTCAAAATAATCTTTAAATAAAGCTGTCTTTAACCTGCATGTTTCTTTTGCTAGGATTTTATCTCCTTTGGCGCTGGAGAACCACCAGCTAGCGAGTACCACTCTTTTGTGCTTTATCACAACAACAGTCCCAGGTGGTCTGAACTGCTGAAACTTCCTATTCCTGTGGATAAATTCAGGGGTGCACACATCCGCTTTGAGTTCCGGCATTGTTCCAGTAAGTGTTTAGTGGGATTGACTACACAGCTTTGTTAGTTTGGGATAGTCTTCCTACTGAGCTGTAAATGACAGTGTGGGCTAATCTTCAGAAAGTGTGTGGCAAACCAGAGACCTCAGGAGGGAGAGGTGAAGGCGAGTGGACTCCCAAGTGGTGAGTGGGCTCACTTCTTCTGAAGAGCTAACAATCTCCGTGAAAACAGAAAGGAGGGAGAGGGAGAGAAAAATAACCTCGGGAAATCCACAAGGTTTTTCTTTAAGTGATCACTTTCACAAACATTAAATCATTGTTTTCATGATCTGGAAAGACACAGCATTAGCATTTAGACTTGCCTGGCTCTGGGGTTCTTAGGAAGTCCTGACCCGTCAGTCCACTACTTCTCAGGACAAGAGCTGATCCAGCTTTCAGACATAGCAAAGGAACCCACAAGATTCTTGTGGACATGTGATGTCATTAAGAAAGCCTCTGATTGGCTCATATTTCTATCTGATTTGCATATATATCTGCCTCACCTTGTAGTCTCAGACAGTATGCAAATGACAGCCAGGTAATGTCATCCTGAATAGTCCTTAGATGACATGAAGTAATTGCCTCATTTTACAGATATTAAAAAAAACAAGACATAGAGATGTTACTGTATTTGTCCATGTGGGCATTATTATTCATAAGGTTGTCACTTCTGACATCTCTTTTTAAGCCTTTTGAATTCATTTCCATCTTCTCGATTTACCACTCCCTGACGCCACCAGCCCCCGCTCCAGGGATTTTTTGTTAGTCCTTGTGTCCCCAGAGTGTATTTTAGACACTACCAGAGGCAGTGAACATTGTGACTACAGAAGCTTCTGGTGAGCTTGTAGTAAAACAAGCAAGAAATACAGAAGAATGATATTACTGGAGAACCGGTGGGCTCTTCTCCAGCCTAGAAGTAATGGAAGCATTACCAGCAGACAGGCAGTGACTTCAGCTGAGCACTGAGTAACTCATCCAGCCATCAGGGATAGGAGAAGGACCTTGTCTGTTGCCAGAACTGGTATATTTTGGAACTGGCTGGTGCAGCTGCCTAAGTTACACTTTAGTGGGTATTTCAGAACGTAGGGAGATGACTATCAGGGTTGTAATATTCTTCTAAATTCCCAGAAGAATTTCAAGTCTAGGAGTTAAAGTCAGAAAATAGAAGGGACTTGGAATGGTGATATTCCATTCTTACCAATCTTTGTTATAAATTCTCACTTGGGCCTAATATAAACTTTGAACTTTAAGGTAGCAAAAAGAGGAAAATAAAGTTGAAATAGAGGGTGGAGTGGTAGAACGAACATTTGGAGGAAATTATTAAGACTGTAAACCCTCTTATCCTTGTAATTCAAACATTGTTCACCGGTTTTTAAGATTTTTTTTTTAATGTTCATTGCTGAAATTCAGAAGAAATAGTAAAATACAAAAAAGAAAAAAATCACATAATCCCATAAAGTACTAATAATCAACAATAAAATGGCATTAGTTTCCAAATAGTTCTGTGTATACATGTATTTATTCAAATATATAATTTATTCATGAAACAAATATATATTGAATGCCTGCTATACCAAGCACTTCACTGGTGTTTGAGTTATGTTAGTGAGCACAACAAAATATCTCATTTCAGAGTTTCATTATGGAGAGGGAAGACAAACAATATATGAACAAGTAAATGTATAATGTACCAGGTATGATAGGTGCAGTACAGAGACTAAATTGGGATTAGGTGGTGGAAAGTGATGGTGCCATGTTGCTGGTTGACAAAGGGCAATCCAGAAAGACCTCTCTGATAAGAAGATGTGTCAGTCAGCAGTAACCTAAGAGAAGCCAAGGCACCATCCCTGGGTCTCTGGGGAAAGAATATTTCAGGCAAAGAGAATAGTAGGTACAAAATACCTGAGATTGAAACAGGCTTGGTGTTGTCAAGGAATAGCAGAAGACCATAATGAACAAGTGGGAGAAGGAATAGAAGGTGAAATGAGATGAGAAGAAAGACCAATCCACAAATTAAAAAAAAAAAAATTTCAGATGTCAATGAGAAAAAGGGACATGGAGTAAATGAATCAAGGAATACAAATTGCAGATGATGGGCCAGGAGTAGGGTGTTTGAGGGTACCTCCTGGAGAGAGAGGTCCCTTTTAAAAGCATCTCTCCTTATGCAGAGGGAGCTGGTGAACGTGGGTGGTATTTCTTGTTGATTGTGCTTTTTTGGCAATTTGTGATTCTGGCTGCACATGTGTCAACATGCACCTAAATAAGTGAGTGTTCCTTGTTTTTTTCCCCCATAGCAAAGGAGAAAGGAGAGAAGAAGCTGTTTGGTTTCTCTTTTGTCCCCCTGATGCAGGAAGATGGCAGGACTCTTCCAGATGGCACCCATGAGCTCATTGTGCATAAGGTAAGTAACATTAATTAGATGTTGGTGATGGCTGTGAAAAACAGGGCTGAATTATTAACTCACTGTCATATGTCACTCTTCTGGAGAAGAGAAAAAAAAAGACTGAAAATAATACCCTTTTGGAAGATTGCTGGCAGGAGAATGTCTTTTTGAAAGTATGACTTTATTCTTTGTCATATTCTAAAACATTTCAAAGATGATTTATATTTTCCTCTCAAGTGTAGCTATTTACGAACATCTATATGTTGATCAGAAAGCCTGTTTTGCCAATGCATTCTTTCCCGGCTGGATCTGAATACCCCCAGATGTAATTTTAGCAAGGTCAACATTTTTCTTGTCTGCTGCTCTCACTAAAGAAGCAGAGAAATAGCTGTACTCTGTCTCCGACTTTGGCAGGTCTTACTTCCTATTTTTTGCATCAAGAATTGTCAAAAAAACATTTGGAAGAAATGTTGAGAATACTAGTAATAATAAAGTATAGGACAGAAATACTAGTAATAGTGAAATACAGAGTGAAAATACACTGTTTAATCCAAAATATTTCCCCTTTGCCTTTCTCCATTCCTGTAATCACATGGCATTTCAGACTTAGGAACTTTCACCGAGGCTGCTGGTCCCTCTAGCCTAGGACTCATCTTCCTCTAGCCCAGTTTCTATCCAGTCATTATCATGACCATATATAGTACAGATCTAACCAGGCCACTTTCCCAATGTAAAGCCATTAAAAAGCTCTCTGTCACTAAGAGGATGGATTCCAGATTCTCAGAGTGGGCCAGGCTTCTGTGCCCACTCCTAGCTCTGAATCATCTCTCACCACCTCCTGTCCATTACTTGATATCTCAGACACATCCAGCCCTTTCTAGTTTCTTATTCCTTACCCCTGGCTGCTGGTTTCCTCTGCTCTCCCCCTGACCTAGATGTATGCCTCTCTACTCCTACTTCCCACCTCCACCTCCTTGGAAGACCAGTCCCCACACCACAGCTCCTACTCCCTGTCCTCCCTGCTGGGCAACAGCCCCTCACCACCCCCACCAAGATTCCTGTATTATCTACATACTTCCCTTTACACATAATAGTACTCAGTACCTTGCCCCATTGTATCTGAAGACCCCTTGGTTTACCCTAGATCTGGTTTCTGGCACGTGTGCAGTGAATGGATGAAGTAGATTAGAAGCCAAAACTTCCTTTATCTTTGGATTATTTCTCATTAAATTAGCATGACTGCACAACACACATGGTAATTTCTATTGGTACATGCATGTATGTATGTTATATATGCTGAATCATTTATTTTCTAGTTACTTATCCAGCACATTTATTGACCGCGAGCTACAGGCTGGCCAGTCATTGATCTAAGTACTGGAAGTAGCAGTGGCGAATGGCACTTAAAGCCCTCCATTTCTACTACTTACTTCCTCTCTACTTCAAAAAGTGACCTAAAGGAGCTTAGAATGTTAAAATGCAAAAGAAAAAGTACTTCAAAACAGAGACTCTGGTAGAACAAAAAGAGATGCTAGATGGACAAGACACTTGAGATGATCTCACCTTGAGGTGGAGGGTCCCTTATGTAAAATCTGAGGTATCACAAACAATATCTTCAGACACAGTTTTCCTAAAGACATAAATGATTCTTTGTATGGATGTATGTGATATTGCCTCTGTATAACATTAAATCTTGACTCACGAAAGGCAGGTTTAAGTGGATTAAAACTGGACTCTCAGCTTCCTAATAATTCATGGAAGAATGAATCATTTCTATATGACATTTCACATGTGGGCCTTCTTACCTGTGGTTTTTAGATAGGTGCTAAGTTTCCAATCAAGTCCAAGTTGACTCCCCTAAAAATGCCGAGTTTCCTGGTTCTGATTAGAGACATCCACACATTTTAAATGCCAGGAGGACAAGGAGCAAAGTTTGCTCTTCAACCTGAGCATTGATACCATTGATATCAATGGATATTGGTGCCATCTGATACCAATTCCCAGGGAACCACTCTGCTGCTATGCAGAGGCCTGTGGCCCTGTTAGCAGGAAAAAACTCTTCTCACATCAGATCTTTGAACTCAGTGCACTCTTATGCACAAATTTTCACTGAGTACCCAGAATTCTGTTCTAGGAAGCATCTGAAATTTTATGGGAACGTGAACAACTTAACAGGCAGGTATTCCCAATGATATTCCTCAATCATGGAGGAAGCACAGGGTGGTGTTGGTAGATTGTATAATTTTGGGCTCACCTATGTTGAGCCCAAAGTAAAATGCTCAACATAGAATCCACAGAAAAATGCTGTGCAGCTGAGTTGTCTTATATTAGAGTTATTCGCTATTGCTTATTTAAAGGTTGTCAAATACTCCCCAACCATAACAACTTTTGCTTTAGTCTGCTTGATGCTGTGGCTTTCTTTTTCATAGAATCAAGCCAGCAAGTTCGGTTTCAGTTGAAGGCCACTTGCAGTTTATGATTATAAAACCTTATTACAAGTATAATGTTTCTCTTTCCTCTACTATGGCAGGAAAGCATACAACCTGCTGATAATTAGAGCCTTGAATTTACTTCTTTAAAAAAAAAGATCAAAAGAGAAAAAGGAAGAAAGACAGGAGTAGGAATGGATTGCCAATCATTGGTGGTGTTGAGATGACCGCAACAGGTGTTAGGGAAGAAGAAAGAATGGGAACCCTACCATGCTTCTTATACCAGAATGAATTCCAGAAAAAAATATGAAAGTCTTAAAAATATGAGTGAATATTTTTATATTTCATTAAGGAAGGCCTTTTTAAGGATGGCTCAAATGTTAAACATCAAGTACAAAAAGTTTTATAAGTTTGGCTATATAAAATTTAAAGTGTCTTTGAGGTAAAACTGTCATATCAAGACCAGGAGACACATGACAAAGTGCAATATGGTTACAACACAGTTTTCAGATTAGTTTCCCTTGATCAAGAGGTTAAAAATTAGTAAGGAAAAGAAAAGGCTAAATGCTACAAGCTTATTAAGAAATGATAAACACAAACGTATAGAATAAGTATGTGAATAATCAAAGAAATGTAAGTTAAAAAATGTGAAACTTTTTGGCCTATCAGATTGGTAATATTTTTTAAAAATTTATAATTGGAGAGTATGAACAAGGGGAGGAGGAACATATTTTCGCATTCACAGAGGAAAGGTGAACAGTATTGACATTCATGAGGAAAGTTTGGCAACACATAGATAACTTTATTTTTTTTCTTTTTTTAATTAATTTTTAAAATTTTTTATTTTATATAATCCTTACATCATTTTTCATCTTTGCACAATGTATGCATTTTCATTTTGGTTATATTCCCCATACAATTGTATCCCCCTCTTATTTTGACTCTAGTTCTTCTTCTCCCTGCCTCTCCCTAATCCCCCCCCACCCCCATAGTGTGTCTCTGGTTTGTAGTTGCTTGTTAATTTTGATTATTACTTTGCATTGATTAGTCTTTTTCCTGGTCTCTTATTTAGGTTGTCTAAATTCCTGCTATGAGTGAGACCATCCGGTATTTTTCTTTTTCTTTCTGACTTATTTTGGTGAGCATGATACCTTCTAGCTCCATCCAACACATAGATAACTTTAAACATGCATATCCTTTGAGAAATTACAAAGCAAATACCTGCAAAAAAAAAAAAAAAAGACTAAACCTGATATGTTTAGCATAGAAGAATATCAAGCAGAGCTTAGAAACTGAGCAGAAAAAAAAAAAAGCTTTATCTTAGGTCAACTTGGGTTTAGCACTGAAGGCTGATTAATTTGATATCCAGAAAGTCCCTTCATTCTAGCTATTTAATACCATTTTATATTCAATCCTGCCAGAGTTATCTGCCTTGACCCTGAGACAGCTTCCTGTGTGTGTCTGGTGCAGAGAGCAAACCCATCTTCTGAAGTCTATATGCAGTGTCAGAGGTCAGCTGTGTCATTAAGTGCCTAAGGCCTTTAAAGATACTCATTCACCACCCTTGTAAAGTACTTCCCTCCCCTTTGTAAGGCTCTTTCCATATTGTGATGTAACTTTCTACTTGTTCTAAGTACTGTCTTCCACCAATACATATTTTGTTGGCCAACAAAGAAGAGGGAAGGGATGGAGTGGCAGGTATCAATTTACTTTACCACAGTCAGCCTGGCCCTCAATCAAAATCATCTTCTCCTTCTTGTTGATCCATTACAGTGCCTTTTCCTTGTGCTCTTGTCCAGTTCAGCTCCAGCTATCATTGTGTTCTTCATCCCTGTGACCAATCCCCAGGTCTTGCTTCATACCCAGTCAGCAAGCTCTCTCACGTGGGTGCTAAATAAATGGATGGATTAAATCCTTCAAGAACCAGTTGTAATTAAAAAAAAATAAACTGCCAGTACATTGACCACAGCATTTCATCCTTCCAATTTTCTGGCTCTACCTGTTTTGTGGTCTTATTCTTCTCCAATAGACCTCACCAGACTTCACTTTCTTCCCTTTGTTTTCCAAGTTAGACCTTGATCCTTAACTCTGCTGTGCTTTCACAAAAAGACAAAACAGCATGGGTCAATCTGTCCATATGCCCCTCGTATGCCCCACCTGGGCAGTAGAGGAAATTATCAATATACAGTTGTAAAGTCAGTGCCAGCCTGATGGGTATAGAAGCAACACCATTAACACCACAGGCAAACTAACCAGCTCCCTCTTTCAGTCCATACAAGAGCTGTTTTTAAGATTGTACCATTCTGCCTACCCCACCATTTCCCGTCTTCTTAACAGAGAAAACAGAAGCCATCAGACAGGAACTTCTTTCACTTCCTGTGCTCGCTCCCTTGCCACCTGCAAACGTATTGGCATCCTTCCTGCTTCCTGTCTGGAGATGAGGCAAGACTCCTTTCCAAGGCTGTTGCTCTCAGGATCTTTCTCCCTCCTCCTGCTTATCCCAGTGTCCCCTCCCTCCTGCAGCTGTAGCAATTTCCTCTCTTCTGGAAGTTTTTTCTAGATTATACATATGTCCAACCCTTTTTTCTT